CCCCAAAACCCCAAAACCCCAAAACCCCAAAACCCCTTTAAAATCATGCAATATTGACAAGAAATGAGAAGACTTTCTGATATTGCGAAGTGGGTTTTATTGCAGACTAAAAGAATTATTTTTCAGTCAGACTCTTCAGGAACTTAGAAAGATGAGATTCCTGGTATTTAAGAAAGTCTATCTCTTTCTCCCTCTTCTCTTGCTCTATTTCTTTTCTTTCCTTATTTCTATTTTCAATTGCCTCAATTTTGCTTTTGAGTTCGATTACTTTATTTTGTAATTTAGTTTTTCTTTCTTCAAGCTCCTCGATTCTACTTTCAAGCTCAGCTTTACCATGTTCTGCTTGTAGCTGTTTTCTCATTCCAAAAGTAACTGCGCTTTGGTACAGGGTCTGATAAGCAGAGATAGTCATTTTGATTTCATCTCTAACTCTGAGCAGTAGGAGTCCTCTCTCTGACTCATTGATAGTAACTTGTCTGATGATTTCATCAAAGCATTGGGAGAACAGTTCTTCTCTGACAGGGCAAATGCCGCTTTCCCTTGCCTGCCTTTCCATTAATTTCTCATCTAACATTTCTCTGAGGCATGCAACATCTACTCTGGAAGGAGCTTTATGGGACACGTATTGGATGTAACGCTTGCCGCTTTCAACCCACTCTCTTGGAGGTAGGATAGCATTTAGAATATCCTCAGTGGATGGTTTAGCCTCAATTGGTGGCAAATGACTCCTCTTAGACCCTATGACTTGTTAGTATTTGAAACTTTAATTAATAAGTATCATTTGAGTATATTTACCAAAGGATTTTGTTTTAGCCTGCTCCATTGTGTCATATCCAGATCCAACCTAAGCCGAGTGGTTATTCAAAATTTCTACTAAGATTACCTCAATTGGGTTGTCATATTGCACCAAACTCTCTCTTGGCCTGCCCTCGTTCATTTTTATTTTTATAAATTTTAATTCAAAGAATTAATTTAAATTAGGGGTTTTGGGGTTTTGGGGTTTTGGGGTTTTGGGGTTTTGGGG